TGGGCCCTGAGTAATCCCAAACGGTGTTACTGTGAACGCAATTTTTTTTTTTTTTTGCCCTGTGTTGCTTGCTGGAAGCAGAATCGCTAACGGCGCATGAAATGTCACGTTGTGCTGTCTGCTGATGAAACAGTGCATTGGTCAAGTTTTTCTTCTCGTTTAAGCTTTGACGAATGGTCGTCGTCCTGTCTGTTTGTAGTTGTAATCTGTCCACCTTGATTTCGTTGCCAGCTGCAACAGCAGCTGGGGTGTTCTAATCACCGCAGCTACAAAGCTTTCCTGTGTTAAAAGAGCGGCCGAGGTGGAAGTGACCCAGATAACGAAGATTTGGATAATATCACGCCATCTGCTGTAGACAGGCGAGGCAAGTGGGCATCGTTAATTGTTGAAGCCAAGGCAGTAGCTCGTTTAGCCATGTTGCTAAATAAAGCAGCATGTATTTCTGCCTACGGGCTCTTCCACAAAGGCCATTGATTTCAAGAGGGAAATTTCGTAGCTGCTGTGGTCAAGAAAATCCTGTAAAGGCAGCTGAATCGAAGGTACGTGCAGCGAAAAAAAAAAAGATGTGTTGGCTCTCCTTCACTCTTTTACATGCTTGAGTCGTCTCGGTGACTTCAGTATTTACAGTTCCTACAAGAGTTTCTCCATGGCTAGCCCCGAACATTGCTCGTAGTTTTATTCTTAGACTCGACACAGCGGCGTTAATTGATGTACTACACAGTGGCATAACGACAAGTACAAAAAACGCATCTCAGCCTTTCTCTCTCTCTCTAACTCTCTCTCATTCTGTCGACTCCCATGAGAGTGAATGTGAGCTTTAGTAGCTACTGCTGCTTTTGCGATGTTATTTCTGGTGTGACGATGAAATCATTTTAAAAGAGCGAAGAAGGTACGGTACCACTATACCTGTATACTATGTAAACACGACAGGAGAATTGTTGCTTGCTTCTTGTGACGGATGTCCCTGCAATAACAGGCTGAAGCTGGACTTGACACAACGCTCAAAATTAATGGCATCTTTTTTGTTTTTAGTGTGAAGAGCCATTGAGAGAGGCGTTTTAGCTTTGGAACTGCAATGGCATCTTCTGTAGGATTTCTGGTATCTACTAGCTGACGACTCGAGTATCGAGGCAGACGTACTATCTCGTAGCAGTAAGGAAATATTTCGCTGCACGGATATTGTATTCAGTATCTTCACTAGTTCTCGCGCTTTGCGGACAGTGTGGCATTATCCGCTTTGGTGTCTAGTGCCTCTGAGAATGTGCTTCGGTGTTCATAGCTTCAATGCTATATCGATTATTCTTCTAGAAATGTCTAAACGCAATGGAGGAGCGCATTTTTGTTCCGCGAGTCAGAAAACCTAATTAATCTTCTCTGTGCCTGTCCAGGAGCGATCAGCAGTATGTGTTTTCATCCGCAAAGGTGTATCGTTCTCAAACTGCCTTCTTGCAAGAAGCCTCTCAGTGTGTGCTGGATGGTCAGGCTACATGTAGGCTGTGGCGTCATAGGTACCAATGCTGTCGTCGCTAATGCTGCCACGTTGGGTCTCCCCATTTACTAGAGTCGCTGCACGTCGCGCCTCTTGATGACGTACGCCAAAGAGGAAAATTACGAGCCTTAGCGTTTTGGGACAAACACGTTTAAAGTGCCGTCCAAGGATGACTGCAACAGACCTTTTAGTGATCCTGCCATAGCTACGCAATTGATGCCTACATCACGGCTGATTGCATGACGTCACAGCCAGAGCATTTTAGTCTTTTGCGAAAAAGGCTTATAGTCTTTTGCGAAAAAGTAGCCCCTAAGGTTCTGACATTTTGTTTTGCTAGTAGCTGAACAAGTGTTCCATTTTTCTTATTTCTTTGTGTCTTCGTTTGGCAAATTCATTGGATGGCAGACTAAAGGTTCAGCCTCAGCCTGGCCTTGCGGTGCTATATGTGTTTAGTCTGCGTTGAAATCGATGCAGACGACGCGGAGTTGTCTCTTTAGCGCAGTGTGTTGGTTTGTACATGTGCTGCCATTTCAGCGGCGTGCGTTCTTACAGGCTGGCTGTCTTACGGTGCAAGGCCAGGAGTTTTTCGCATATAATGTGGCGTGCATGTGCGAGTGTGTGTAGACGTTTCAGTGCCAGCAAAACTTCGAAAAAAGAAAAGACAAAAAAAGATGGTGGTGTACACTGTGTAGTTTTTTCTGTAGCCTCCTTTTTTTTTCTTCATTTTGTAATGCGTGTACTGGAAACTTAATAAAATTTTTAGTTTGGTAAGTAACTACACAATCTCTTCTGTGCCGTTACTTCATTCTTATGGGAAGGTCCTTGCCACAGACTGCCCAAGAGGAAGCTTAAGCTTGTACTGGTGGTGGTGGTAGTGGTTAGAATGAAGAGGAAAAAGGCACCTAATTTCTGTCTGTTTTCAGGCGACACGGCGCGGTGCCTTATAGGGGTGGGGGGAAGGAGGGATAAAAAGAATAGAAGGAAAATAGACGGAGAAGAAGACAGGCATGCAGCGGAAAAAAGGAGATAGGAAGGAGCAGGTCTTGACGAAAGAGCCTCTTCTCGGTAGGTAGACCACTCCTGAGAGAGGGAGGTGTGGCGCTGCAGACAGTAATAAAGTGAACTGAAAGGGTGAGTGACCACCTGGCTCTTGCACGACAGGTTCCTGTGGTATTGTAGATTCACCGCAGCTCGATCGTAGGCGTCCGCATGATGGGACGGATGCTTTTCCCCTTAGTCACCTGCGAAGTGGGGGCGCGAATTCTGCCCCATACAATGTGAATGGTCAGCGCTTCGATGAAGCCCCCTCCCCTCCTATCTTTGAAAGGGAACGCCGAGTGCGCCTGTGGTGACCACCACCTGCGGACACCGCGTCTTGCAGTCCCTCGAGTCTGTGGGCCTTCGACTTTTCTGAGCGGCCGCAACTGCTCTCACGTCCACCGGATCTGGTACAAACTCGGAAAACGCATCGATCGTTCTGCGAGTCTGACCTTTAAGCTTAGCCAAAGTCGTACCATGCAGCGTCCCCAAACTGCGTCGGCAGAAGGCGCATACACAGAATCTTTTCGTGGTGGGTCAGCCGCTATGTATTGTTGGTACGTGCGTTTGAATTAAAGGGCCGTATACTTACACTTGCGAAATGAAAATTGTCGAGGGAAGGGGCGGGAATGTAACACCTCTCCCTCGGCTACACCCTGCACCAATGTACAGTATGGTCCACTCTTAAAGGGAACACTCGAAGGCACACCACCAATATTCCTGGCTCTCTAAAAGCAAGTGGATTAATAAAGAATCTTCATGCAAGTCAATAGCCTGGCAAGAGGAGTGGGAACTTTTAACCACCTGTGGCTTTATGCATATATAAGCCGCTATGATTCCGTGAGATAGCGAAATCTAAACATGCTGCTCACGCAGGTGTTCCCATTAACAGTGGACCCATCTGAATATCAGCGCCGCCGAAAATTGTTCGCGCGTCACGTGGAGACGCGCTCACATGGAGACTTCTTATGATGATCATCGGCGTTATCCCTTGACTAAGCTGCTGCCAGTGCTGCGCATTGCTCTGACGTGCAATCGCCCCACGTGGTTGGGGCACTAAACAAGAGTCAACAATTAACATTGTCCTTCAGCAGTACTTAGAAACGACAGCTAATTAAAGACGTGGAAGTCGCAGTTTGTTGCGTCACCGCGGTGTGAGGCCCAAAAGCTGTCCTTAACAAGATTTATTTAACCACGTTGAACCGCGGCAGTTTTATTGCTTTAATCAAGGCGTGTTCCGAGGTCAAGATGCTCTTACAAGGAAAGTGAGAGTTCAGTTGTGACTGCATTTCACGATGCTTCTCGCTGGCGGGTTCATGTGCATGCGCACAGCAAGTTTCCCTCGTAAATATATGTCAAAAATATGTGTGAAATACGAGTTACAGGCGCATTTACAAAAACAGAGGGGAGAAATTGAAAAGGACCGTGGCCACAGTCGCCCAACAATTTGTTTTGAGTGAAAAAGTAGGTCTGTTGTGTCTGCATATCTGAAACATGGATTGTGGAAGAATACTTCAATGCAAAATGAGCCGCAGAAGTCGCCGGCTACGAAATTGCCGGGAATTGCGTGTATGACGTCATTCAGAGCGGAGCCGTCGTCTTCCAAATTTTCAGCCACTGCAAATCGTTCCGTTTCAAATCAATGCCAAGCAGAACTGAGTTAAGTAGATTGATTACACGCGCAGCTGAACATTCTAGGTCACTACCTGAGCGCGGAACAATACCATTTTCTATACAGGTAGGCCATTATCATCATCATCATATCAATCGTCAAAATGCAGACGCTCACATTAGGCGCGGCTTGTTACCCGACAGTCGTCGGATATTTTTAAACATTTTGAGTTGTAAACTAGGTGCTCGATTGAATGCGCTAAAATTTCGCCAGCCTGTTTGTAAACGGAAAAGGATTATCTCAGCTAGATTAGGAGCGAACATGTAACCTCATCAACTCGACGTTTCGGCCGGAGAGTGGTCCCCGACCGCAACGTCGACTAACTCGTCTCTCTCTGTGCCCTTGTACGTGCGCTTACACTTATTGCTTACTATCATCGGTACAAGGAAACTCAACTCATGTAATATATATATATATATATATATATATATATATATATATATATATATATATATATATATTGTTGTTGTACGTGTTGAGACAACACGTACAACAACAAAAATTGCTGAAGTTCTCGTCACCACATGCTTTTGATCTTATTATAAATTTTAAAAGTAAGGTAACTAGTAAATATAAGTCGACAGATAATGTGTGAAATACCCCAGCGTATGGCAAACATTACTTTTTTCTTAACAGCGGGGCGCTAGAGTATACCTATGAAGTTTGGCACAAATAAACAATGCGTGTAATCCGCTAGTATTGAGGCACTTTTTACAGATAAACGTCTGCTACGTGCAGAAGCGTAGCGATAAAAAAATAAAAATTTTCTGTGGGAAGGGAGATGGGGGCATTAACCACGCTGTGTATCTCTAATTGGCGTGGCGTGGACAGGGGCATAACCAGAATTTGTTTCCGGGGGTTGGGGGGCCAACCATACTTTATTATGTTTGTGCGTGCGTTTCTATGTGTGTGTGTATATACGCAAGAAATATAGAACATTTTCGGGGGAGGGGTTTAATCTCCTTGGCTATGCCAATGAGCTTGAATATATACAAACGCATATTTTTTTTTTTAACTCGGGGAGAGCTGGCTGCTTCGATGAATACGAGCTCCCACAGTATTCTCAGCACGACGGGACTGGAGGGGTTCTGTTGCGTCGTACATCCTCCCAGAAATCGCAGTAGGCCTGACGATGCGCCCACCCCACGCTTTCGTTCACGTCCAGCACCAGGTGTCGCTTGAGCGAATCCGTGCGCTGGGGCCAATGGATAGTTGATCCAGGTGATCCGTCTTCTGGCAGGTTGGGGTTCCTGTGGGTAGAACATGAGGTCAAAGTTTCGATCTGTTGAAATGGAAGTCAGCAGGGCTATGTGAGTGGCTTAAAAGTTTTGCTTTGGCATACAGTGCGAAAAATGACCATTTCATAAAGGTGCCCCTCCACCCGCAAATGTTTTCTGCCTACGCTGTGCAGTGGACTTCTCATATAGCCTCGTATACGTGTCGTGCTCGCACCGCCTACTTTGCGGTAAAGTGTCAGACAACACGAAAACCACTTCGCTAACAGGAGTGGCAGCGTTTCTTACGCCAGAGTTTCGTAGAGTAACGCCACGTCGGACCCCTCGGACGGATAACTTTCTAATTTGTCGCATATCATTCCCTCAACCATGCCGAAGAGCTGTTACAATTTGTTACATTTTAGTAGCAAAGCTCCTTAGGCCCACACCCGTCCGTCGAAGCTCCCCGCCGCATCACAGTTCTCCACCCTACCGCCTTCATGAAAGCCAGAGACGGGATCAGGTGCATAGTCGTCTGCGTCCCATTGCTAAGGAGCTTCGCTCATCGGTTGTATTCGTACACGGAACAACTGCTAGGTTTTCTTATGTCAAGGTTCGGCTGCGGTTGCTGTCTGACACAGTTTATCTGTGATGATCATTAAAAGGAGCGCCACGGAATTGAATACTCGCATACGATACGCACCCGGTCTTGGCGAAGTTGGCCCAGTACCGCATGATTCGACGGCTCAATGTCTTGTCCTCTTCACTGTAGCAGTACGTGTCGTTCAGCGGCTCACCGAACACGAACGGCACCTCCTCACCGTGAATCACGCCCGTCCATTGGGGCCAAGGGTTCTGCGAAGACCTGCGCGCGAACACGTACTGGTACACCGGAATCCCAGCACGCGCAAAGGTGTCTGCCCACCGCACAACAGGACACGTGAAGTGATAGTCACCTACGATCGAGTCCAGGGCCTTCAAGATATCCGCTGCCGCCGACGGTATCTCGCCGGCCGTGTACGTTTTCACAATCTCGGCGATAGGCGTTTGTTCTAGAGACGGATCCAAAGCCTCCAAAACGGCCGTGAAGTTTTCTTTCGTGACTTCTGGGGTCTCATCTGTCACTGGAAATCCGAAGAAGTATTGCAAGAACCAGGAACCTTCGTTTGCGTTAGAACCAAGCATCACGCTGATGTTTCTAGCGAATGAACCCCTGTCCGTAAGTGCCTGAGGCGTATCTGGTAGGAAGACGCCATCCACAACGGGAACGAACGGAAAGTCTACCACTCCTCCGCTGTTCGTTTCATTGTTCACTATGTCTTCGGGCCGCTCACAGCGGAGGCTATCCAGCGTCTCTTGATCCAAGCTGTCCGGGGCCCGCAAAGCTGTAGCCAATTTTTTAGCCGATTGCCGAGCTTTGTCCCTGTCCTGGAAACCCCAAGGCACTGCTGGAGACCCGCTTTGAAGTATGACCCTGTGAAATAGAGACTCTGAGAGCGGTGACAGGACGTGCAGGCCTGCACTGGTGGCGCCGGCGCTTTCGCCGAAGAGAGTCACTCGATCCGGGTCGCCACCGAAGGCCGCCACGTTCCCTTGGACCCACTTGAGGGCCATGTACTGGTCGTATAGTCCGGCATTTCCAGGCAGCGCCTCGTTGCCGAAGGACAGGAACCCGAGGGACGCGACGCGGTAGTTCATCGAGACCACGACGACGTTTTCCTCCGAGACCAGCGTTCGGGCGTCATACACGTCCAGCGTCGAAGTGCCACTGTAGAAGCCACCGCCGTAAATCCAGACGAGGACGGCGAGGGGACGTCCCCCGGACGAAGTGGGTGGACCGGGCGCCCAGACGTTGAGCTTGAGACAGTCCTCACTCATTTCCGTGTTGGCGTTCCACATGGTGCTTCCGCTGAAGTTCCCGTATAGGGTGTCCAACACTTGGAAGCAAGAGTTGGGCTTCACCGTGGCGTCGAGGACGTCCGTCCACGGTTCTTCAATACTTTCGGCGCGGTCGAACCTGCGTTTACCGGTCGGAGGCTTCGCGTACGGTATTCCGTAGAAGACGCGAACTGTTTTGCCGAGAGGCGATTGCGCGATAAAACCCTTCACCGGACCCCAAGCCGTCTTTACTACCACGGTCTCCACGGGGTCTTCGGCGTCTTGATCTTCGACACGATTGGACGCGTCTTCCTCTGGCTCGATCGAGAGGCATCGCAGGACGACGCCGCCGCAAACCAGCAGCGCAAGTAGCGTGAGGTGGCAGGATGCCAAATTTTCGTGAAGCATGTCCTGTTCCTGCGAGAGCGTAGAGAAGTATATATATATATATATATATATATATATATATATATATATATATATATATATATATATATATATTGAAAGACGCAGGCAGACTAGGTACGGCGAGCAGGCAGGGCGAGCAGAAGCGTTTATTCTGCGATGTCTGGCTCCGCTCAGAACCACACCAAGAGAGAGGACGATGATGATGGCTATGTGCAAGTGAGAACGATGATGATGGGTATGTGCAAGTGAGAACGATCAAATGCTTGGAATGTGCTTACAATTTCCCCCCCCCCCTCTGCGAAGCGGCCAACCTGGCCGCCAGTCAGAGATCGGCCGAACGAGTAACAAAAGGCTTCATGCGTGAGACGTGAACTATTTCCGTGCTGCGCAGACGGCGGTCAGTGACAGACTGAAGCGGGGTGACGAGGTAGTTAACTGGAGATGTCTGTCGTACAACGGTGTATGGGCCAACATACCGGTGAAGAAATTTCTCGCAAAGGCCCGACGCTCGAACCGGGGTCCATAGTAAAACCTTATCGCCGGCATTAAAGGCCACGTCGCGTCGTTTTTTATCACAGCGATGTTTTCTCTCCTTTTGGGTTGCTTCCGTGTTTTTGCGAGCAATTTCACGGCATTGTGTGACTCGGGCTGCGAACTCTTCTGGGAGCGAGGTACTGCTTGGAGCCGGTGCAAAGAAAAATGCCGTGTCGAAGACCGAGGAGGCAGATCGGCCGTACACGAGAAAAAACGGGCTGTAGCCAGTTGATCGTTGTACCGCAGTATTGTATGCGAAGGTGACAAACGGTAAAATGTTATCCCAATTTTTGTGGTCAGGATGCAAGTACATCGATATCATGTCAGAGAGTGTTCGGTGGAAGCGCTCGGTAAGGCCATTCGTTTGCGGATGGTATGTAGAAGTGGTTTTATGGACTGTATTGCACGCCTGCAGGACTTCATCCAGGACCTTGGAAAGGAAGGCTTTGCCACGGTCACTCAAAAGGACGCGAGGGGCTCCGTGGCGCAAGACGATGGAGTTCAAGAAAAAATTGGCGATTTCTGTGGCGGTAGCAGAATGAAGAGGTGAAGTCTCGGCGTATCTTGTTTGATGGTCGACTGCAGTGACGATCCAACGGTGACCGGAAGGTGTCAACGGCAAAGGACCATACAAGTCTATTCCGACAAATTCGAATGGTGTGGTGGGACAGGGAAGAGGCTGAAGGAAACCAGCAGGCGGGGATGTGGATCGCTTGCGGTGCTGACACAACGCGCACGAGCCCACGTATTTGGCCACCGTTGTGGACAAGCCAGGCCAGAAGCAGCGCGTCTTGATGCGATCGTAGGTCTTGTGGAAGCCTAGATGACCGGCAGCAATATCATCGTGGAATGCTTCCAAAACTCGAAGACGAAGGCAGCGGGGAAGAACTGGCACCCACTTGTTACCGGTGGGATGGTAAATGTAGCGCTTAAGCACACCGTCCTGAAGGCGAAATTGTCGAAGCTGGCGTCGCAAGCGGCTGTTGGGTGGTTTAGTGACACCGCGAAGGCGATCAATGAAAGACCGACAGTAGGAATCTGCCAGCTGAAGTGAACGTAAATCGGAGTTCGAAGATAGCTGCATTGGATCCAGCGATGCGAGCGATACGTGTTGTGAGGCAAGCTGGGTGTCAGAGTCATTCGAACGCGATGCGGTGGACGTATTGTCACGAGAGAGCGAAAGTGGGCACCGGGACAGCGCGTCGGCATCATGATGACATTTGCCAGACTTGTACGTAACTGTAAAGTCGTACTCTTGTAAGCGCAGTATCCAGCGCGCAAGACGTCCTGACATATTCTTCATTGATGAAAGCCAACAGAGTGCGTGGTGGTCGGTGATGATGGTGAAGTGCCGACCGTAGAGATACGGGCGGAATTTCTGTATCGACCATACGATAGCCAAGCACTCCTGCTCCGTGATGGTGTAATTCCGCTCAGCTGTTGACAGAGTCCGGCTAGCGTAGGCCACAACCTGCTCTTTAGAGGTGGAATCACGCTGCAGAAGGACTGCTCCAATGCCTTGTGCGCTTGCGTCAGTATGGAGTATGGTAGGCGCTCTCTCATCGAAGTGGCGCAGCACTGGTCCGGAAGTCAGGCGTTCTTTCAAAATTTCAAATGCAGATTCGCAGTCGTTGGACCATGAGAAAGGAGCACCAGTGGCCAATAACTTATTTAGCGGAGCCGCTAAGGTAGCAAAGTTGCGTATAAAGCGACGAAAATAGGACGCGAGACCAAGAAAGCTGCGCAACGTCTTTTGGTTGGACGGTCGAGGGAACTGTAGCACAGCTGCGATCTTCTCGGGATCTGGTTGGATTCCGTCTTTGGAAACGACGTGACCGAGGACTTTGATGCTTTTGCTGGCAAATGTACACTTCTTTGTATTTATCTGAAGGCCAGCCTTGGAGAGACATTGTAGCACCTCGTCTAATCGTTGAAGATGTTGGGCAAAGGTACTTGAAAAAACAACGATATCATCTAAGTAACAGAGGCAGGTCTTCCATTTTAGGCCACGAAGAACAGTATCAATCATTCGCTCAAACGTGGCTGGAGCGTTGCACAAGCCGAATGGCATTACATTAAATTCATAAAGGCCGTCCGGTGTGGCAAATGCAGTTTTTTCTTTGTCAGCCTCGTTCATGGGGATTTGCCAGTAACCTGATCGTAAGTCAAGGCTCGAAAAATAGTTCGCCCCTTGCAGTGTGTCTAAAGCGTCATCAATTCTAGGCATAGGATATACGTCCTTGCGTGTGATCTTATTTAACGCGCGGTAGTCAATGCAAAAACGAACAGAGCCATCCTTCTTTTTAACTAAAACGACTGGAGATGCCCAGGAACTCGAAGAAGGTCGTATTATATTTCGCGATAGCATCTCGTTCACTTCTTTTTCAATTATTTCTCTCTCTGATTGCGAAACCCGATATGGGCGACGGCGTATCACACGAGAACCGTCGGTTTCAATGCGATGTACAGCCGCGGAAGTCTGACTCAGTGTTGTGGTACAGCTATCAAAGCAGGCTTTGTGCTTAGCCAAAAGGGCCAATAGTGCTTCAGACTGTTTTGGTGTGAGGTCTGAACCAATGACAGGTCGAAAAGGGAAAGAACGTGAACCTGGAGCTGGTACTGGTGACGAAGACGGGCAGAGTGTCGCGATGGAGGTCAATGGAGAGAAGTCAATCTTTGCCACTGTCATTCCCTTGGGCAGCAGCACAGATTCTGCAGTTGTGTTAGAAACGGGCAGAAAAGCGCAGCCAGAGGAAAACCGGAGGAGGCAAGAGGCGACGAGAATTCCACGGGAGGTGCAGCGAAACGAAGGAGCCACAAGTGCATCACCGTCGGTTACTTGGGTAGATGCGACAGCTATCACGTGTTCGTGACCAGGGTGCAGGACGCAGTCTTCAACAATGACCAAGTTGGAGATCGAGGGTGATGAAACTGGAATGGGCGCATCCGTTGTATCCGTTATGTGAATGACGTTCTCTTTAAAGGATATAACAGCGGAAGCAGAATGCAGAAAGTCCCAACCAAGGATAAGTTCATGAATGCACGTGGGCAACACAATCATCTCGATGTGGTGACGTATACCATCAATAGAAACACGAGCCGTACACTGTCCGTCAGGTTGAATCAGCACGTTATTTGCCCCACGCAACACAGGTCCCACATAGGGCGTTCTGACTTTACGGAGGCGCGAGCACAAGTCACTACGCAAAACAGAAGTGGTTGCACCGGTGTCAACGAGAGCTTGCACAGGAATACCTTCAATAATCACTGACAACATATTAGCTGGGCGAACAGGAGGTATTTTTGTTGGTCGACGGGACGCAGTTTTCCCTCCAAAAACTGCAATCCTTAGTTTTCCGAAGATTGGTCAACAGGACGGGAGATGATTGGACGAAGCGGCGATGCGGAGCGGCGATAGGGCGATGGAGAGCGTCGTCTGGAGGAGCGGTATTCCTGATGTTGACGAGGGGACACTGGAGGAGACGGAGACCGGTACTGCGCGGACGGGTAGGTGTCTGGAGCATAAAGATCTGGTCTTCGGAACCGGTCTCGTTCGAACTCAGCATAGCCTCGTCGTTCCTCTTGCTGGCGGCGACGGCAGTAACGAGAAATGTGGCCTCGTATACCGCAGTAAAAGCAAACAGGACGGGATTGACGCCACTGAGGATACAAGGGTGCAGCAGTCATTCCACCTCGCATAGCAGCCAAATGGCTACTAGCAGTATCCGTAGAGCTAGATGCCCCGGGAGCAGGCGGAATCGCAGCGATCTCCGCATATGTGGGCATTACCGTTTGAACAACCGGTGCTGCCGGTGTCGACCTGGGCGTCACATCGGCGTATGTGGGCATCGGGCGTGCTGGCGGAGCGACCGGGGATGTCGGTGTCGCCATTGCCGCTAACTCCTGCTTAACAAGATTCCGCAGGTCGAATGGTGGAGACGGAGCGGAGGCGACAGTGGACCGCTGCTGTTCAAGGTCTCGAAGTTCTTCCCGGATGATTGTGCGGATAAGGGTTTTTAATTCAGAGGGAGGCATCAGGCGTGGATCACTGTCTTGTTGAAGCCGAAGGGACTGCAACTGGTCAAGGCGTTGGCATGTCGAAATGACGTCGTTAACCGTAGCGGGATTGCCAACAGCCAAGGCGTTGAATGCGATTGGGCCGATTCCTTTAAGGATGTGGCGAACGCGCTCATCTTCCGTCATGTCTTTATTCGCACGGCGACAGAGGGCCAAAACATCCTCGATATACGAAGTGTACGACTCATGTGCCAGTTGTAGACGCACAGCCAGCTTCTGTTTCGCGGCTTCGGAACGACCCGATGAGCATCCGAATATTTGTCGCAGTTTGTTGGCAAAGGTCGACCAATCAACGAAGTCAGTTTCGTGATTAAAATACCAGGTTTTGGCTACGCTGGTCAAATAGAAAGGAAGGTAGCTCAGTTTCTCTGCTTCGGTCCATCGATTGGCTGAACCCA